TTATTATTATTATTATTATTATTATTTACATTATTTGGAATGAGCTGTGCTTGGAGATCAGATGAATGCTATAGTTCCATGCATGTTGCATTGCCAGTTCCTGGAGCATTGATTAGGATGTCCAACTGGATCTGAAATAACTGGATTCAAATTGTCCCTTATCCATGAAACTATTACCCTGAGCCACTCCATGATCAAATGAGCCCAGATTTTATAAGATCACAGTGAAAGCAAAAGTGTATACCAACAACCATGTAAATTGTTGTAAGTTCCTTGGAAGATCAGCAGTAAGCATGGTATCAAAATCTGCCATGGCTGGAGAATAGCCAAGCATTATCTGGGCACTAGGACCTCCCTTGCTTTCCTCCAGACTCTCTTATTTAAATATAAATGGGTAACTAGTATGCTTAAAGTAGAATGCCATCTCTTTATGTATAAGATACAGGCCTTCTACTCATTCTTAGAAAATAAAAAAAGCTGGGTGTCTATAGGCGAGTGCTTTGTTTCCTGTGCATACCAGATTAGGAAAAAAAAGAAAATAGGAAACAGAACTCTAAGACAGCATTAGGAGGAAGGGGGATTCAGAGCATATGGCAGTAAATAGCTGTCTGGTGACAGACTTGGTCCTTCATCACTGCCTTTATGTGAGTGTCTCTCTTATGTGTTCTCAAAATTTCAGACATTGCCACCAGTGCAGAAAAGGTTGGAATTCCTGGTCAACTTCATCACTGAGGCCTCTATAGTAGATGCTATAACAGATGCAGCTCTGCTACAGTTTGCTGCTGCAATAGCAGCAGCCACCACTTGTCTCACCTCTCCTCCCTCCACCCCCAGTAAATATTGCTAGTGGCCCTTTTGAATAGGAACTGACCTGGACTAGCATTTGGACATGCTGTGTGCTGGCTGACCACCATGTTAAATAGGCTGAAATCCATTGTACTGCTTTGTTAATATCAGGTTGGATATTATGCTCTGGATAATCAAACATGGCAGCCACCCAGACAGAGTGGAACTGAGAGCCAGCTTAGTTTTCATTCAACAGCGCCACAGTTCACCTAGAAAATACAACCTGTTTGTGCCCAAGTCAGTGGCAGGAAATTCAAATAGCATGTCATATTGGCAAAACATGACAATAGTGGATGGTGGGAACCCATTTGGTACCTTCATACTGAGGACCACTGAAGTGTGACCCTGCCCTATTGAAGCTGAGCCTTATGGGCAGAATATACATCCAATAAACGTTAAGCTATATCATTCACTTTCCCTTTCTGACATCTAGCTCTTAAACTGCATCATGGACATGGTAGAAAAAACAAGACGATCTCTCACTGTGCTACGGCGATGTCAGGAAGCTGACCGGGAGGAACTTAATTACTGGATACGGCGGTACAGCGATGCAGAGGACTTAAAAAAAGGCAATGGTAGCAATCATTCCAGACAGCAGAGTCCAGTGAACCCAGATCCCGTCCCTTTAGGTATGGTATCTTTAAACCATTCAGAAACATCTTGGAACTCTTTTATGTTGCTGTGTTTTTGAATTTGCGTCTGCCTTTTTAATCTCGATCATTTTTTTACTTGCAGTTTTTGTGGCTATGAAATGGTTGTCTATTTAAAATCACACATTAAAGAGAGTGTATTGAAATGCAACATTTAGCTCTATGCATTCACTTGAATTAGGGCTATATGGGTCCTGTTTATTAGTGTAAGAAAGGAAAAGAGCTAGTAAATTATTATAAATTGATAGGCAAAAGAACTGGTGTTCTGGTCCTACACTGGAATCTCTTGGGAAGTACAGAATATTAAAACCCATTTTAAGCACATGCCTTTCACTTGTAGTTTCTCTTTTAAACACTGTATGACAATAATGTGTCTTAGATTGTCTTATAAATTATAGAATTTACTAAAAGGGGAATAATTCCATGACAGTGTGTTTTTAGTTCATAAGGAAGATAGTCAACAATTGATGAGTTGCCCTATAGATGAGAACTACGGTATCAGTGTAGGTACAATCTCACACTTATGGCATGTTTTAAAAAATATTCTATCACAAAGAACAAATACTGCTTTTTTCTGTATGTTGCAAATGTCACAAATTCCCCTTTGTCATTTTTAATGAGCTAAACCACCCAGTAAAAATTACCAGCTTGTCATCTCCAGTAGCTATGGATGGAGGAGAGGACGGCCATCTGTTATGCCTTTGTGTCTCCCCCTCCCCCCTTTATGATTTATATTGGTACCCATTCTGTAGATCAGTTTCAATTATAGCTATAATCTATCCATTTTCAGGTTTATAATAATGGCTATAATCCAGAATTCTGTGCAACCTTTGCACTGGGTGAAATAGCAAGCACGCATATGCTATTCACTACTCTGGCTTATGACCTTTCTAATAATAAGAAGAAATGGTGTGAGATAAGGCACCGTAGCAGATGCATGCCGAATTGTGTTCATTCTCAGGCATCTACAGTTAAAGTAATTTATGAGTGTTGAGATATATCTCTGCCTGAGACCTTGGAGAACTGCTGTTGAAAGAAATAGCATTAAGCATAGACTTACAGTTTAAAATATTCCCCTTTCCCCCCCCAAAAAAGCTGTTTATTGATTTATTAGATTTCTATACTGTTGCAATCATAAGAATCAATAACTCTGCATACTTTTAAAAAATAACTTCTCTAAAAAGTTTATATAATCTAAACCACATTCTTGAAATTTCTATACACTATTTATATTTGCATATACACTTAATAAATAAAGTGTATTTATTTATTTAATAAGTGTATAAACCATTTATAATAAATACTTAAATATTTGTTTGGAAGATAAGTGAGTAAAATTGCTTTAGTCCTGAATAATCCATATATGTGTAGAAATACCAGACAAGTTTCACTGTCGATCTGCTTGATAGAAGTAGTGAGCAATCATGTAAATAGTCTATTTTATTCAGGCACTTTTATAGGAGGATATATAACATTTTGAGCAGTATTTGATTTTCATCCTCTTAACAAGGAATTCCATTTAATATATCCCATGATATAGTAGATACAATAAGATACATTACCAGTTAAGGTTTCTGGAAAGCCCGAAACAAACAGTGCTACTTTGCACTAAAACAATTGTCATCTAACTCAATACGGTCTAGGTTGAAATGGTAATAATTCTCCAGAGTTTCAGATGGGTATCTTTGCCTTCCTTATCTAGAGATCCATGGATTGATCTTAAACCTTTTGCTTGTGAAAGATATACTCTATAAATATGTTTATGAAGATTCTCGATTATCTAGGTGGAATTGTCTGGAGGTTGAGTCATGACAACTGGACTTTTCTTTTTGGTTAGAGACATTTTGCTACTTGTCCACAAGTAGTGAAACGTCTCTAACCAAAAAGAAAAGAAGTCCAGTTGCCATGATTCAACCTCCAGACATATACTGTATAAATGAGCTATGCCTCCTTCATCTTGCTGGTTTCCAGGTAGTATTTTAAGATAGAACTTGATTATTTATTTAAATGCTTAAAATGCATATATCCGTCACCAGTATAGAATTCTTGGAGAAGTTAAAAAAAAAATTCTACCCTATTCCAGTTTGTTCCATGTGGAACTTTCAGCAACAGATTTTTCTATAAATTTTTGTTCAAGAAGCAGATTCACTTGCTCAGAGAAGGCTCACAAGATGTGCCATACTTCTTTAAAAAGTATAAGGTATCTTCTGTGGTCAAGGAAGTTCTTCATTTTTTTCCCCCTACACCTGTAAATAAACACTAGATTGGTGTATTTTAGGCCCAATTTCATTAAAGGTTATCCAGGAATAGACCCAATATGGTAGAGTGGCTTACTCCTATGTCAGGTCTGTGTCATTTTCAGCTGTTATAGTTGCCATTTTTAATAACTGTTGAGCAGCTAGCAAGCATCATCAGTGTCCGAAAGGAGATCATTGGATAGGAGAGGGACAGACAACTGCAGTGCAGCTTTTCAGTTAACCTTACCCCAAATACCATTTTGCATGTTGCAAGACTATTTATTTATTTATCAAATTTATATGGCCACCTATCTCACAAGCAAGTGACTCTGGGCGGTGTGCAACAAAGCTAAAAAAACAATATTTACAAAACAATTATTAAAAGCTTTAAAATTATAGAAAACATAAAACAAAAATGAAAAATAAATAATGGGCAAAGAGCAGGTGTTAATAATAATGGAGCCACCTCAATATTTCACCAGTCCTCTGGGGTCCCCAGGCCTGATGGCACAACCAGGTCTTGAGGGACTTTTGGAAAGTCAGAAGGGATGAAGCCAGCCTTACTTCGGGGGGTGGGGGGAGAATGTTCCATAGAGCAGGTGCCACAGCAGAAAAGGCCCACTGCCTAGGACCCGCCAAGTGTAGCAGCTCCCTTGTCAACAGGACCCGCAGCATCCCCTCTCTGCTGGATCTGGTGGGATGGACAGATGTGATCGGGGAGAGGCGGTCCCTCAAATAACCCGATCCAATGCCATGTAGGGCTTTAAAGGTCAAAACCAGCACCTTGAATTGGATCCAGAAACAGGTTGGCAATCAGTGCAGCTCATGGAGCAGAGGTGTAACATGTGTTCTTCTAGAAACACACGTAACTGCTTGCACTGCTGCATTCTGTGCCAGCTGAAGCTCCAGATACTCTTCAAGGGCAGCCCCATGTAGAGCGCAGTAGTCCAACCGGGAGGTGACTAGGCCATGAGTGACCGTGAGTAGAACCTATCAGTCTAGGAACAAGTGCAATTGGTGCACAATATGAAGTTGAATAAAGGCCCTCCTAGCCATGACTGCCATCTGCTCTTTGAGCACGAGTCTTGAATCTAGGAGGACTCCCAGATTGTGCACAGGGTCTGTTTGGGGCAGTATAACCCCATCCAGCACCAAAGATGGCATAGACCTAGAACCAGTGGGCCCCAAAACCAAAAGCCATTCAGTCTTGCCAGGGTTCAGTTGAAGCCTTTTGTTCCCCATCCAGACCCTCACAGCTTCCAGGCACCAGGATAAGATGTCCACAGCATCATTTAATTCACCAGGAACAGAGATGTATAGTTGGGTATCATCAGCATATTGATATCTCACCCCATGGTGACGGATGAGCTCACTCAGTAGCCTCATGCAGATGATGAAGAGGAGCAGAGAACACCATCCCCTGCAGCACCCCACAAAGTAGGGGCCAAGGGCTGGATCTCTCCCCCTCAATCACCACTGACTGGAATTGACCCCAGAGAAAGGAGGCAAACCAGCACAACACCATGCCACCCACTCCCAATCCTCTGAGACGATCCAGAAGGATGTAAAGGTTGATGATATCAAAAGCTGCTGAGAGGTTAAGTAGGGCAAGAATGGAGGCACAACCCTCATCCTGCCCACGCCAGAGATAATCTAAAAGCACAGCCAATGCTGTTTCCATCCCATACCCGGGTCTGAACCCTGACTGAAAAGGATCCAGATAATTTGCTTCATCCAAGGTCTTCTGAAACTGCTGTGCAGCCATCTTTTCATCCACCTTCCCCAGAAAGGGGAAGTTAGATACTGGATGAATAGTGGGGTTCAGTGATAGCTTCTTCAAGTGGGGGCAAACCAAGATCTCCTTAAGAGATAATGCAACAACCCCCTCACTCAAAAAGGAATTTACCACCACTAGAACCCACTCACACAACAGCCCCCAGGCCACCTTAATCAGCCAGGAGGACCATGGATCTAAAGAGCAGGTGGCTAGCTCACAGCCCTAAGGACCTTGTCCACTTCATCAGGCCCAACAGGTTCAAACTGTTCCCAGATAACCAGGCAAGACTCCTCCCCAGGCATCTCCCCTGGACCTGCAATAAGGCCAGCATCCAACTGTGAGTGAATTCAAGCAACTTTGTCTAAACAAATTCTCCCACACATGCCTGCAAGGAGTTCTCTGCATCCCCTCTACCCAAGAGGGCACGTGCCACCCAAAACAGGGCCATAGGGCCGCTATCCACAAACACAATAAGGGCGGAGAATGATACTCTGCCACCCTTACCACCACAAGGTAGACCTTAATAGCAGCTCAAACCCATGTCCAGTCAAGTTTATCCCCTGTAAAACACCAGCAATGGTCTAAATGTCTCTTCTCTCATTTCATCTCCCTTAACTCCTCCGTAAACTACGGGGAGTGGCAGGATCCGTGAGATGGGAGAGGCTGCATAGACATGATCCGATCCAAGGCCTCAGTCACCCTCTTATTCCAAACGGCGACCAAGGCTTCAGATGGACAGTGCAGCAGACTAGCAGGAACAACCCCCAGCTCCCTCTGAAACCCATCAGTCACCAGGGGCAGACCAATCTAATGAGTCCAGCCTCCCTACAGTGGCTGGTGGGGCCAGAGAATCCCATGGTAATAAGTCTGTGATCTGACCATGACAAGGGGAACACCAAAACCCCCCAATTTCAGACCACATTATTCAGATCACTGAATTATTCTTGCCTCTTACTTTACAAGGT